GTTCAGGGACTGGGATGACAGGCCACTGAGTGGAATGACAGCCCCAGGGTGCAGCAGGAGTGTTCTGGGATTGGAATGACAGCCCAAGAGTGGAGCAGGAGTGTTCAGGAACTGGGATGACAGGCCCAGGGTGCAGCAGGAGTGTTCTGGAACTGGGATGACAGGCCACAGAGTGGAATGACAATCCCAGGATGCAGCAGGAGTGTTCTGGGACTCGGATGACAGGCCACGGAGTGGAATGACAGCCCCAGGGTGGAGCAGGAGTGTTCAGGAACTGGGATGACAGGCTCACTCCGTCATGCACACCGCAGCTCCTTATAAACAAAATATCGCAAGAATGCTAATGTTTCAGGCATGTTTTTATTTTAAGCAAAAAAACCTTTGTGTTTGTGTCCTTTATAAAGTGTATATCTCCGCTACCTGGCATTACATTTTATGACACACATGGCCCAGCCCGACAATGTCCAATTTGTGTCATAACAAATTAGTTCAACACCTCCATAACAAATTAGTTCAACACCCGTTTTAGACGGTAGACATCAGAAAGTTTACTTGAAGTCATAAACTAGCCAATGTAAGACCACCCTATAAATGGAGTCTCTCAGATTTGGAATTCAGTGAAAATCTGTTTTCCCCGTTTTTGGCAAAGCTCCGGGTAAGCATCTTAAACATTTAGTTAAGATAGAAATGTATGCTTATATAGGATTAATTTTATGGGGTGTGCCAGTGTTCTGTGTGTATATTTAATAACGTTTTATTTAATTGTATCTAGAGTCATTAGATTATTTTAAAATAAAAAGTTTTAGTTAATACCTTGACTGGGAACTGCAAGGTTTTTGCTTTCCCCCTGGAACAAATAAAGAAACTTGAACTCCCCCCCTCCCCCAGAATGTGAGTGCTGTGCCCTGGCAAGGCTTGAGTGGGAAGGGAGCATTCAGTCCACTCAGCACCACCCCCACCCCAGGGTTTAGTGCTTAACGTGCTGCTGTAATTCAGCCACAGAAATAAACTACTTTCCAGATGGCTGTTTCAAGGCAGCAGCAGCAGCTGCCTCACAAGTGAGTCCGAGCACCCACTACAGTCCCCTCAACTTTCCTCCCCAGCAAGCAAAGAAACATTTGGTGAAGGACAAGCGCTGGCTACTCACAGAGACGAAGCTTTTTTTAAATTTAATGTATATTTTATTTTGTTTCCATCACAATCGAAAACTTTTTAAAGTGCTTGTTCTAAACAATATACAAAGATCTTAGTATGTGCACTATTTAAATTATCCATGCATCCCTCTCACAAAAATATACAAAGCCAACAAAAGCAATAAAACTACTTCAAGAGAAAACTGAGGCAGAACTATTTGGAAACGCCCAAGATTTTCCTCTTTAACCCAACGAGAGAAGAAAAGCCACAATCAGGTCAGCAATCTCCAGCTGCCCATGCACTGATTTTCTAAAATAAAGTATGTTTTCCCTCAATTACAGTTCTTCCCTCTTTATGTAGAAAGTTATAGGAACACCTGAGAGTTAAATAAAAGGACACTACCCAGCAGCACTGGTACTGTTCATGTCTATCAGGTCTGGGTGGGGAAAAGTCCTCAGGGATCCTTGAGCCGCATGTCGGGCTGGGGTGGAGACTGCCTCCTTAATGCCGTTTTCTTATTGTGCATTTCCCCCATTTGACTCCCCATTAAAGCATCCAGCAAGGGCTGTTTAACAAGGTTCATTAAACAATTTGATTTCTGTCTCAACTTAATCCCAAGCTGGGCACAGCGGGCAAGAATACTGCATGGAAAGTGCCCATGCCTCTGCAAAGAACTGTAGAGTCTTAAGAGATTAATCTACAATTACTGTTCTCCTCCCGCCCAAGTGTGTCTCAGCCTTCAAATACTTTAATGCAATAATAATAATAACAATAATAATAATCAAAATACTTATAAAGTGTTACATACTAGGAGCGACTATTCTCCGTGTTGCTGTTTTTTTAGGGCAAGCTCCTCTCACAGTAGTTTACCACCACAATGGCAGGAAACAGCAGTATTTGCGAGGAGGCAGGTAACCAGGATGTTTTAGATTTGGGTCAGTGCCCTGCAAGACACGCAACAGCAGCAAAATGCTGGAAGTTATTGCTTCAACAAGATGCAGGAGGTTTTCAAGCACACCAGAGGACAAAATCCAGAACAGCTCAGGTCATGGGAGGGCAGGACCCGAAAGATCTGACCCCTCAATGGGCAGAGAAAATGCTGCACAGTGCCCTGCCCCAATTGGCTAAGATTGCAGCCAGACTCAAACATGGAGTGCATGATGACACTTAAGAAATCGTTCAGGACCCAGTGACCTGGTGCGCCATCACTCTTTTCCCCTCCCACAGGTATTATTTCACTTCGACCAACCTGGTGCCTGAGCCGTGAAACTGGGTGTGTGTGTGTGTGTGTGTAGGGCCAGAAGATGCAACACAGGATTTTACTAGAACAAAAAGAAACTAGAGGTACAACGAAAGGTGGAAGCCAAGCCATCTCTGCTCTGCTGGAACTCTAGAAGGGAGCCAGAGGTGTGGTCTGCTGCTCTATGCTTGGAGGTGGCTCAGTACTGGTTCCCATACCAGTCACTGTGGCTCTGTTGCAGCAGCTCTGTGACCACTTGGGCCATGTCACAGTTATGTCTCTGCAGCAGCCGAAGGTTGAGCTGGCGGTCACAGAAGCCCATCTCGCTCAGGTTGGCCAGGAAGGCCGTCATCTGTTCCTCGGTGATCACAGGGAGAGCCTGGAGGAGGGAGAGAGCCCCCACGTGAAAACAGGAAGCCACCTTCAGGGCCGGCTCACTCACTAGGCGAACTAGGCGATCGCCTAGAGTGGGACGGCCCTTAGGGGCACCAAACTGCACCCGGCCCCGTACTCTTGGGAATTTCTTGATTATTTGTGTTTTTCATTCTTCCTAAAATGCATTTATTTTTTAAAATTGGTGGGCGCAGGGGGGGGGGGCAGAAGGGATCCTCGCCTAGGGTGCAAAATAAGCTGGAGCCGGCCCTGGCCACCTCCATGCATGTAACACACACGAGAACAACACACATGTTTTCTCCATGCCTGGGATCCTTTGCGAAACATTCCGCCGTTCTGCACCCACAAAACCCCTCTCTCTGAAGATGGCATACAGACGGCAAATCCGACACCCTGGAGTTTTAGAGCCACGGGTTTGGAGGGACCACAAGGCCAACTGTTCAGGCAGGTAAGACCCATCTTCCAGCCACTCCCCACCCCACCCGCCGTACAGATCAGCTTGGACCACCCCACACATGCTACTCTGCACAATCGAGAGCAGGGGCCTACAGAGGAAGTGGCTTCCAGCGACTCAAGCAAGGAAGCCAAACTGTGTGACACAGAGGAAGGCCAGTGGGAACAGGGGGGACAAACTCCTGCTCGGCTCCATGCATGGCCATTAGCCCAGCCCGGAGCAAGAGCCACAGTCCGCCCCAAATGGGATTTAAACCAGCTCAGGGCAATCTCTGATGCCGCTCACTTCCACTGTCAGGTCTGCGTTGGAGGCCAAGAGTCAATTCCTGGCATGATGGCCACAGGAGCACAGGACAGACTGCTCCAGGACCCCCAATCGAGACAAGAACGGTGTACCTGTTCCACAGAGGGTGGTCCGGCAAACAGGGCCTTGTAGGCTGAAGCAGCCACAGATAAGGCCCCTTTCATCAAGCCCCCGGCCAGGCTGTTTCCATGGGCGTGTCTGGAAAAGTTGGATGAAATGAAAAATGTGAGAGAAAAGATCCACCTTGGCAGAGTGTGCACATAGGACAGATGTGCAGATCAATCTCTTCAGAAAAGAATGTGCTAGAACAGATTATGTCTCCCGGACCTATGTATTTTCTGTGCCCCCTCTCCCCAAAATGCACACCAAGGAAGTCAGGGCCCCGTGACGGGAGCAACGGATGAAGAACTGTCACTGCCTCATACGGAGTCAAACCAGCAGACTCTACTCCCTTGGGTGCAGGGGCTCAAAGGTCTTGCCGGTCTCTTTCCCAGCCCTGTTCCCCGAAGGTGCCAGGAACTGTCCCTGGGATCCTGGATACGCAAAGGAGAGCCAGTTTGGTGCAGTGGTTAAGGGCGCAGACTCTAATCTGGGAGAACCAGGTTCGATTCCCCACTCCTCCACTTGCACCTGGCTGGATGACCTTGGGCAAGCCATAGTTCTGATAAGGGCTGTCCTTGAAAAAGAGCAGTTTCTGTCAAGAGCTCTCTCAGCCCCGCCTACCTCAGCGGGTGTCTGTTGTGGGGAGGGGAAGGGAGTTTGTAAGTCGCTCTGAGACTCCAAGTAAAGGGCAGGGTATAAATCCAATCTCTTCTTCACGAATGGGCCACGGCCCCTCTCTAGATGAGTTGTGCTAATTCAGGACATTGCATGTGATGGGGAAATTACCAACATCAGCTGTCTCGGCCCCATATAGTCTGCATCAGCTTGCCGAGGGGAGGCATTGCATGGAAGGCCCGCTCTTAACCATTAAAAACCATTGAACCACTAAGAACCCTATTTGGTCCTCTCTGTCCTGAGATCTCACCAGATGCTTTCAAGTTTGTCTTTGCAATCTAGAAACTCTCCCCCCCCCACACACAAAAGACCCAATGAACATATATACATATATTCTCATATTGGTGAATTCCATGCTGTGTACCAAATTCTGCCCTGAACAGCCTCGCTTTCTCAACTCCCAAGAATAAGTCGAAGCTTTTGGAAAAACGATGGGAGTGGGAAGGGATCTCATGCAGCGGAGATGGATAAACTAACTTTACAGTTACAAGAAAAACAAGAAGAAAATTTTGAAAAGAAATGGGCCAGATTCTACAAATGGCTTGAAAACTCTCTCAGCAAATCCAAAAAAGTAAACTATGACTCTAAACGAGGTTTATTACAAGATGAAAGCATCGCATGAAGTAAGGTGTAGCAGAACTTGATTCTACAGTAGCACTGTAAACAAAAACTGAAACAAGAGGACAGACTCCATTGTTGTTAGTTATTGTTGTTATATGTTTTTTCTCCTTCTCCAGCTGTCTTTCTGTCTCTACTGAAACTAATAAAATCTTTATTTAAAAAAAAGGATGGCAGTGGGAAGGGATCTCGTAGGGATGGAAACGGACACTGCTGCTCAGTGAGCCCGAATGCAACCCCAGCTGGACGTGGTCTTTGTTACCTGGAGGATTCGGAGGATGCCGACGTGCTGGTTACAATCTCTGCAGAGGGAGCTGCAGAAACATCTCCTAGAGGAGATGAAAGAAGGACCGCTGGAAGCAGAAAGAGAAAGAATCAAGCAGTGGCCACTGAAAAGAGTTTGTGGGCCTTGTGGGCATTGGCCTTACCGAATCTGTACAGTTCATTCCTCTTAATTTGACCAAAGCCCTGTTTGAGCCTCTGGATTAACTCTAGAACACCAACAAACAAGTCAGCTACTCTCAAGCTGCCAGCCGATCACCCCCTGTGAGCACCTGGTGCCGTACCTTCTCTCGTTGGGTCTGGAGCTGGCAAACAGGCTTCCGGAGATCTTGTTTCTGGAGGACGCTCATCTTGGGAAGGGCCTAGAGACCTACCGAAAAAAAGCAGCAGCACTTTATCATCGAAATATAACAAAGCCACAGTGGAACAGAATAATATCTGTCTTCCCATCTGTGCAAATTTCAGAGCAAAACTGAAGACCTGCCCACTAAATTTGAGGACCCATTTCCAGCACAATGGGCTGCTGTGCTGCAACTCAGGAGCCCACAATTATGCTTCAAACAAATGTGATTGTAAAAAAGGTTTTTGCAGAGAACCTCATCCAAGTCCAAGTTCTGCGGCCAGGGGTCATTTCGTAGAAAAAGAGGTGCAGGAGCTCATTAGCATAACTCATTAGCATATGCCACGCCCCCTGACCTCACTGGAAGTGTGTCAGAAGGCAACACCCACCGCTCAGGCTCCACTGGACTGTTTTGGATTGCTAGCTATTGGGGGGGGGGGGTGGAACATGCAGATCTGTCCTCGCAGAGGAGGGAGAGCTTCTACCTAAATAACATTTGGTCTTAAAGGTGCCACTGGACTATTTTGGATTGCTATTGGGGGGGAGCACGTGCAGATCTGCCCTCACAGAGGAGGGAGAGCTTGTACCTGAATAAAACTTGGTCTTAAAGGTGCCACTGGACTGTTTTGGATTGCTAGCTATGGGGGGGGGGACGACGTGCAGATCTGTCCTCACAGAGGAGGGAGAGCTTATACCTGAATAAGACTTGGTCTTAAAGGTGCCACTGGACTGTTTTGGACTGGGGGGCCGGGGGGGGGCTCTGCAGCTTACCTGGCTGCTTCTTGCTCTGACTGAGGGCTGCTGGGAGCAGGGGGTGGGGCTTGTTGCATGTGCCAGCCCCCTGGGCTCTTTACTGCCGGAGCTCCGCTCCTGTGCGCTCCCGCGGGAAGTGACCCCTGTCTGCGGCTAAGGTTTCCCCTCCTCTGGAGGTGGCTTATCACTAGGGGGGCAAAGAGGACCCAGAGTTCAGCTCTGCACTTGGGGGCCCACTTGGTACCTTACTGGCTGGGGCCCCGTGATCTGCGGGGTCAGTGGCACCGCGTCCAGGACCTGCGACGTGGTCAGGATATCGTTGATGCTGTGAGCCGTGGGCCGGCTCTCTCCTCTGGGACCGGCTGGGCCCTCGGCTCCTTTCTCCGAGCTTGGCTGCGAGAGCGCCGAGCTGTACATGGACTCGCCCAGAGGTCGGCTGGTGTCAAAGCACTCCGGGAGGATGACCACATAATCCTCGGAGGAAGTGGAAGACACCTGGCTCCGGACGTCATCCTGTGCATCGCTGTCGGCCTCTCTGTCGCTTGATTCCTCACTATCTGGCACCAGGAGTTTCTCTAGCCGAACACAGAGAACATCACGTTACCCCCAAAAGAAGAGGACTGCAGGGGCCGTCGGTCAGTCGCCCTCGCATGGGAGAGTCCAACCCATGGTCGTCCTGTCCAATCCCTTGGAACAAGGTAGGATCCTGCCTCCCCCCCCACTGAAGGATCAGAAAAGACATCACTCAACGATGCCTGATTACCTGTCCCACAACTCCCCAAATCCACATCCATAACTCCAGCAACAGGCCACAGACAAGTGGGGAAGAATGAGGCAAGAGATCTCTTTCAGCCTCTGCTCCTAAGACAGACCTCTGAATCCCTCCCCCCGGCTCTTTGTGGCCCCTCTTCCAGCTCCAACGAATCCTATTTGAGCATGCGGATTTCCCTGGCTCAGCAAGGCTCTGCTGTGGGCACAGAAACAAGCCGTGGCCACTTCCCCTTACCAAAGTCAGGCTCGTTGGCCGCCTCGGTTCTCTGATTCGTCAATTCGGATTCCTGTACTGTGGAAGTGGAACTGCTCTTGATCCTAACAGCATCCTCAGTCTTTGGGCTACAGTGGGTGGTATCCTGTACTGCTTGCTGAGAAGCTAAAATAAAAGCAAACAGCCCCCCCCCCCAATGAGGAATAGGTCAGACACCAAGGGTCTCCCTCCTTCTGCACCCACGGGCTTGGGGCCCAAGCACTGGGAATGCTGCTCAGCTTGCAAAAAAGGAATTTCCCTTTCTCTCTCCCCACTGGAGCCCACTGCGTATCCCCAAGTGCTTGTCGGTGTGTAAGTTTCAGCACCCAGATCTCCCGGATCTACTTGACAGCTGACAGATGCCATAGACCAGATCCAGCCAGTTTAGACTTGTCTGGGCAAAGACACAGTCACAATGAGTCAGCACTCCATGAAATTGCTGAGCGGTCAGGTTAGAACGGATAAAAGGAAGTACTTCTTCACCCAAAGAGTGATTAGCACTTGGAATTCACTGCCACAGGAAGTGGCGGCGGCTACAAGCATGGACGGCTTCAAAAGGGAATTAGATAAGCATATGGAGCAGAGGTTCATCAGTGGCTATTAGCCACAAGGTATAGATAAGGGCTTTGGGGCAAGTGATGCTCTGTCTTCTTGGTGCTTGGGGGGGGTCAACAGTGGGAGGGCTTCTAATGTCCTGGCCCCACTGGTGGACCTCCTGATTAGGGATGTGCATTTCGGGATCCCGAGCCGAAAAAAAAGCCAAAAATAACGTTTTTCGGCTTTTTCGGCTTTTGGGATCCCGAATTAGCAATTTATGCGCTTGTCCGAATCCCGAAAAAAATCCCGAAAAAATTCGGGAATCCCGAAAAATTCGGGTCCATTATAACCAATGGGGCCATTGAAGTCAATGGCAAAAATCTTCTTGAAACTTTGTGGGGGGCTGGGGGGGAGGGGGTTTGG